CCGAAAATGAAGAGGACCTATTTGAAATTCATGACCAAAATAGGGACCTACGGAGACATTAAACCTAATTTATACTATGTAACCCATTTATGGAAAAGGTAATTTTATAAAAATGAAAGAAATATAAGGGATTCAATTAACAAAAAATAAAAGTGTATTTAATTATGTCTTGGGAGCTTACTTATAAGGAGAACATTTAATTCTAAAGCCTCATTGTTCTCTGTGGCCCTAGCCACCATATTCATACACTCCTTGGGTATTTATAATTCATAAGATTTTATTGATAATTAAAATAAAGAGTTAATTATATATTTGGTTCTTTATTTTTTTAAAATACCTTAACATTGATTAATGTTCGACTTTTTTAATTATATCATTGATATTAAAAACTAAAATTCTAGAAGAAAAAGATATGAAGAGATTAGATAATTTAATGCATGATTTTCTTAAACCATGTGAATTTATTTTTTCCTTATAAATGATATGAGAAGTAGTATATTATAGTATGATTACAAAACAATACTAGTAAAAAAGTATATTGCATACTACATTGAAACAATTGAAAAAAAAAGGGGCTGTAAGGCTTAATTGGCCTTTCCCTATACACTTCCCTAGGTTTCTCCTAACCAGTTAAGGCAAGTTACAAATTGAACTGGTTCCATTAATTTAACTTCAATATGAGAAAGTTCATGCATCTGGTTATCATCTCTGCAATAGATAGCAGTTCCTGGGAGATGCTATATGACTTGAGTAAAAATTATTGATTTCACTGTAACTGATCTGACTGTGTTTTCTTCTTCTCAGCAAGAAATGGTTTGAACATCATTATTATTCCAATTGCTTCAATTATGTTCAGGACAAAGAACACCATATTGGTGCCTGCAGTCAAATAAATGCACATCAGTAAGTAAACTCCTAGCAAAAGAAACAATGCCCTTAACAGCTGCATTGACATCATGGTCTAGCTAGCGGGAACGGCTAAAGGGTTTGGACTTTACCTAAAACAATTAGTTCTTAAAAATATTTTTTTGAGGTATTCTTTTCTTGGAGGCCTAAAGGAAGGACTTTACCTGTTTGAGCCTTGAACCGCCCTATTATTAGCTAGACAATATTTTATTATTCCACTGCACACATGCTGTCTACTCAAACATATCTCGTTCTGCATTTACTTTTTTCTTTGTTTAGATAGTAGAAATAAATGCAACATCTCATGTGCACACAAATAAATTAGTTGAGCATCATACCTGAGAGGAATGAAGCATCCATCCGCTTTTGTGACCAAGTTAATCTGCATTCACCATCATCATATCAGAAAATTAGATATAATTCTTAATGTATGATACTTTGGTAAGAAAGTATGTGGTTAAGAACTACTGATGAAAACTCTGTCAAGCCAACTGCTAATGGATCAAAGTGGAGAGCAGTAATTTCTATTAAATATCTTTCTATGCCAACAAGGGTCAAGGGATACATTGACAGGTAACATGATACCTTTATCTTTCAATCTAGTTCACTATGAAAAAACCATATCATAAAGGAACTTAGAATGGATTAAATGAAAACCCTGCAAATTGACATGTCAGTATATTTTACATTTTTTGAACTGACAGGTAAATCTAGTAAAAGCTGAAACAGGAACACTCACACTGCACCACCTGTAGCAGGACCAATAGCTTTGAATAGGGACATGCCTGTCATGGAAATGCCATTAGCTGCACCTCTTTGGTGTTGCTCCTGTTTTCCAAATGAAAATGTCATATATGTCACAGTCCATCAACAAATAGTCTCAACCATTGTATTGAATAAAAGTTGCAATAATCCAAAAATTACCACTGCTCGGTTTTGTAGGAGGAACAAACCAGTTATAATGGTGGCCTAAATTCAACAAAAAAGAGTTCAATCAGTCAAATTTGTAACATGTAAAAACTTTTTTGAATCAATTTAAACACTCAAATCACTATTAAACAGTTAAATGAACAGAGAGGTTCACTTACAGACAGAATATTCTTTAGAATTGAAGCAGTAACTATGACTATGGTTAGTGCAACACCTGACAACAATGCTATGAAAGGGTAGCTTTGCAAAAGAGGTATTGATAACATCTGCATATGGGACCAAAGTAATAGGACATTTTTCAAATAACAAAATTTGAAATGTTAAAAACAGCGGTATAATAGCTACAATTTGATGAAAACTAACCCCTGTAATGCGGCCAATTCCAACAGGTCCACAAGCTCTTTCCACAAATGGATAGACCGAAATTTGGTAAATGATCATTGCAACACCTAAACATTGGAGAAGTGAGTTAGTAATTATAAAGTATCAATTGTACAATAGGAAAATGAAGATCAACACTAAATGCAAAATTTTTCTATAGCTTTGTCACTCTCAAACCCAAAATCCAGACAATTTTGTAAAACTTTAGAACTATAGGAATAACTTTAATGTGGTTCAAGTGGTATCCTACAATGTCAATACTGTTTCAAACTTTTTATGATACAAAATAGCCTATCTTTCATGCTTCCTCTTTTGTAAAGAGAAAGATATAATAATCTTGCAGTCAAAGTTATAGCATCTTGGTGTTGCACTAGAAAATTTTGGCAAGTAATGAATAAATATGAAATTTTTTTCTAAACATTAGTTTACCAAAGTTTGGCAATCCAAATCCGTAAAATTCACATAAATGCATAAAATCTATGTGCAGTATTTGCAGATAAAAAATTAGGAAGGAAACATGTTATTGAAATAAGCAACATTGCGAAAATTGTTAGTTCCAGAGATTCACCTGTTATTGAAAGAACATTGCCAACATCATTTGTTGAGAAGTTCAACCCCCCCAGCTTTCGAGGACTGACACTCCATAATGAGAAAACCTAAAGAAAGCAAGATGAATGAATGTAGTTCACTTAAGCAGAAAAAGAATAAAAATCAGGAAAATCTAAATAACATATATCAAAGGAAATGCGTAGACCATTTGTAACATCATCAAGATCAATGAGTGATACCTCTTGATAAGCAATATCATGAAGTGAGAAAACACAGTAAATTATGATAGATGACATCAAGGGCCGATTCAAGAGGAGGTTTTCATTCTTCTGAGTTGTCATGTCTTTGCCAGCTCCACTGTTTCCATTTTCCAAAGCTTCAGCATCTTCCACGGATTCATCACTACAACTGTGGGTGTGAAGTGTTTCCTGTAGGTATTTTAAACAATTATATTGATGATGGTGATAGGGGGAGCTATTCAACCCTTAATATCTATGTTTTTATGATGAACAAAAGAATAGTTTTATAGTTTCTTGCACAACAAATAGCATAACAATTGTTTTATCTTTATTGTGTTTGTGCTTGATATGTGAATTCATTGTTTGTAAATGAATCATGCCTAAAACATATTGAACATTTCATTTATGGAAGAAACAATCGGTTAAACAATATATATAATCTGTTAGATTTCTCCAAATATCATTTTATGATTAACAAGGGCAAACAACTGTATAGTAATTGTTGTAATTTGAGATAATATCTTTAGGATCTTCCTAATTAGAGGAAATAGATACATAATCTTTTATTTTATTTTTCCTAGTTTTCCTAGTTTCCCTGTTTCCCTTTTTAGGAGAACTAAATTATTACAAATAAAGGGTATGAAAATGTATTTTTTTATGATTGAGAATAATAAAATAAGTTTTATTTTCAACTTGGTGTCAGAGTTCCTGATCTTGGGGCTCGATTCTGCTGCAACAAGTCACACCGCCGCCGTTGTCCGACTACCGATGCTGCCGCCGTCACTGGTTGGGGTTGTTGATAGGAAAGAAAGGTGCGCCCAACACCGGCGATCACAACGCCGGAAGTCGCTCCGTGAGAGGAGCCGCCACCGTCGCCGGCGCGTGTAGCCCACGCGCCCACCTCTGACGAGACCCACTCGCCGCCGCCGCCACAGATAGGGTCGCCGGAGCCCCCTGAGTCTATTCCTACGGTCGGTGACGACTCATTTTGGTGGTATTTGAGTAGATCTGAGTTTTAAGTTTTGCTCATTTTTTTCTTGGTGTGACCCACTTGCCGTCACCACCACAGAAGAGTCGCCGGAGCCTCCTGAGTCTATTTTTAGGGTTGGTGACGACCCGTTTGGCCTTATTTGAGTAGATCTGAGTTTGAAGTTTTTGCTCTTTTTTGTTGGGTACGTGATGTCTGAAGAAAAAAGTATTCCTTTGGGGGTGCCTAATGACCTACCAAATATAGGAAGTACCTCTTGGTTGAATGGTCAGAATTACTTACAATAGAGCCAATTTATTCTAAAGATTCTCAAGGGTCGTTCAAAACTTGATCACATAGATGGAGGAGGACCAAGACTAGACGATCCTCATTTTTCAATTTGGGACAAGGAAGATTCATTAATTATGACTTGGATGTGGCAATCCATGATTCCTGAGATAAGGAAAAATTATATGTTTCATTCTTCTGCAAAAGAAATATGGGATGATTTACAGAGTACTTTTTCTTTAAAAAAGGATCTTGTTGCTTACTATGACATCAGGAACAAGATATTTAATACAAAACAGGGCTCTCCCTTTTCGTATCAGAATATCACGGAATCCTAAATGGTCTTTGTATGGAACTCGATCAGATCTAAACAATAAAGATGTGTAAAACAGATGCTGCTGCTCTTGCTGAATTCATTGAAGGGGAAAAAACCTTTAAATTTCTCTAGGGCCTGAATCATGAGTACGATCCAATCCGGGTTCACATTTTTGGAAGAGAAAAATTACCACCCTTGTCAGAAGTTTTTTTATGGTAAGAGGAGAAGAAACTCGGTGAACTGTCATGCTTCATGGAGGGATCTCCAACACAGGCTCTGCCATGACAATTGGAAAGGGAGTCCACAAGGTAACAAATGTTGGGGGAAAGATGTTTGAAAGAGGTACTCATGGGGATTATTGTTCATACTGTAAAATATCTGGAGATACCAAGGAAACATGCTTCAAACTCCCTGGAAGAAAGAATGTTCTCGAGCGCATGGGAAACAACAAAGGGCCTACTCAAAGATGGGTAAATCATACTACCTCAGAACGGGAAGCTACCAATCAATCTAGTTCTTCCCAGTCTAATCCACCACCACCACCAGATCTTGATATGAAAGCTTATAAGGAGAAAATCGAGCGCTTGGAAGCAATAGTTGAATCAATGAGTAAGCCCTCTAGATCATGTACTCTGTCCATAAAAGGTAAGATTTGTCTCAATA